TTAAACAAAGATATGACTCATCCAAGGTCAGTATAATCACAGTGGTAAGATTGTGGAATGTGATTGAAGAAGAACTAGAGCGGTAAAAGTATAGTATAGAGACGAGTCAATTAGAATGGAGAATGTGGTTTTGTCAGATTTTGTTCCAAATTGAAATTTCACGAAGAGCGAGCAATAAAAATGCATTTGTGCACTGCCCAATACATTTAAAATATTTGTGAAGAACTACTTTTTGTCACTATCATATAAATGATAGTGTAGGACATATCGAGTGCTCAATTCTGTCTTTGTAAATTCAATGTAACAGGTGAATCGACATTATCCGTATATCCTCACTGCAAACACTTATTTTGTGGACCAACTGAACAGGTAGTGCTTCTTGACTTTTGTGCTAAATTTATTCATCCATTCAGTTACAAATCATTTTTGCATTACTGCTGGTGTACTTACTGTACTCTGCCTGTTATAATACCAATTATTTTTCACTACTTGTTCACTACTTGTTAACCACATATCTGCTCAGTGTCATTTTCGAAAGCAGACAGTTTTTCAATTTAATCTGCTATCAATTTGATCCATTTAATACTTCCATATATCTAATGATGTATTGGAGAACAAGGTTTAATTCATCACATGTGTTTGTCACACACTCAATTGGTATGAGTGTTTTGTAGGATTGATTGGGAGGGTGAACATATAGAAATGATCACACGATATTTTCGTTGTAGCAGATCACATCAAATTGTATATTGGTAACTAGAAGAATAAAATAATCAAAACTTGTCAGTCCTATTCGCTCATCACCATTCATCTTCTATGTGATTTATGTATTATCGATCGATAATTTGTTGTTTGTTTGTTGTTTGTAAGAAATTGATTTTTCATTAATCATTGAATTACTGAATAAAATGACAAGATAATGAGAAACATATTTCGTGTTATTGAACAATGTGTAGCGTGGCGTCGAGTCCCAGTTGACTATTAACACCGCTACCAAGAAAACACGTGTCAAACAAATCAGAAGGCGGATTAGAACCTAATTTATTTAATTGGCGATTCCGAGGTATCGAATGAATATCAAGATCGTGCCAAGAAATGGTACAAGCGGAAGCAAGGGAACGGAGTATGTGCGAACAAAGCCAAAAACCGCGAAACAATGATGGAAGGTGTGGAAGCACAAAATGGCTGTAATTAGCACAGTTAAACAAAAGCGCATTGGTTATATTAATAATAGTTTTCATTAAACCAATCATGTTCTCGTAATAAAAGTAAGTCACTACATATGTTTAATCAAAGCTTAGCACAACTGGAATTATATCGTTAATGTGATGTAGCGACCGAACAGCCAATATTCGGTTGGAACAACGGACTGACGAACCCTAAATTTATTCGATTAGACCAGACCAAGTTCCTCTGTATAGCTCACAACGCGTCTTTGAGATACTCGTATTATATTATATCAAAACACAAACTCTGTGTTCAATATAAACGGTTCTAATTAAGAAAACAGAACAAATTACATCAAAAATACAAAATACCTCAAACGGTACAGCCTGTGCTATACAGTCAGAAGTTTCTCTAACGCAAAGTAGTGAGCTAAACGATGAAAGAGGCAGTCAATACTAAAGGGTTTGATACCTGAGAATCAATACAAATATTCCCAACAAGATGGGATCAAATATCTATCTCTAGGGATACCAGCAATCCTCCCAAGCAGACAGTCAGAAGGTTCACGATCACACACTGAACCACGCTGTGACCTTGAGCTTAGTCAAACACGACCTTACTGTCCATGGTCCGGCAACATGTAATGGAAAATTAGGTAACAAAAGATATGTCTTTAATCAAAATCACATAATAAAGGCCCAAACGAGGAAGACTGAAGAACAAAAGATATGGTTAAACGAGATCGGAACCATGGGTAAAATACACAACAGGGAGAAGAAACAAGTAAATGACAATACTGTTCAACAAAGAAGCTGCAGAGGGATTTTCATCGTTTTCTTTCCGTCACAGTCAAATGAACATTTTAGAAATCTATTCATCACGAAACTGTGTTAAATAGAAATTGTCGAAAAAATAAATAGAAAACTAGTCTGTTTTTCTTGTTGTTGTTGAGGTTTTTATCAGGAAAAGAAATTGAACAATCTGAGAAAATTTATAGGAAAATCAACTCATTACATTTGAACATGAATAAAGTAATATGTAACAAATTGTAATGGTGGTACACGTAACACTGGATTTACTTTGTCGCTTCCTCAATAATACCTTAATGTAGGCTGTCAGATTAAAAAAATACAACATTGGTATTTCTCTGAACAGGGACAAACATGTAATGACAGTGTGTTCAAGAAATTCACATCTACACATCAACTACATGAGGTTGAAATACTTATCCAAAAACAACGAAGACAATTTGCAATTGAAACGCAGTGAACGAATGAATAATGATCAGTTACAACTAGTGACTTCGTAAGAACAGCAGTAAAATAAGAATTAATCATTAATATTTGACCTGAACAGTTTTAGTTGAAATAGACTTGAAAATGGAAGAATAAAATTGAAAGTAATTTGATGATGACCAGAGAGAAGAGAGAAGTCATACAAACAATTGCTAGGTGTGGAAACTGTTCATTATGTTCATAACGAACTAATCCAATGGTTGTTTAAACTCCTACAACGTTAATCTGATCTGATGTGTCTGTCAACTATCCCTGTTACATGTGACCTACCAATTGAACACCATTATTATCCTATAGTGTTAGTGTGACTCATAATTTCTATTCATTTCGATAAGACACGCATTACTGGTCGGTATGTTTGTGCGTTTCGCCTAATGTCTGTAATTTCCTCAATTATTGTACTAATTGAATAATTTTTACGTTCAGAAAGGGATAAAGTTTAAATCAAAGTTGTCCTTGTTCTGACCATAGCTCTCACATAGACTCTGTGCTCGCCAGTATCGCGTTTACAGTTCTAGTAGTATATCTGTAGGACAAATTCAATCCTACAAACAGAGCTCACTTGATTTCAGTTGAGAATTTGCACACATCCGACCTGGAAACAACACAGTCGAACTCTCACTATCATGTTCACTAATCTCATCTTAGTCACACGCTTCAACTCTCCTCTCCATGTGTCTCATGTTTCACTGTTCAATCAAACATTCACAGTATTAATATTATCAAAATATGTGATGCTTCTATTCTTCGTACAACATCTCGTCCACACATCATATTCATTATTCAGCTAAACATTAAATTGCATGATATGATTTTCACTCGGAATTCATGCATTGATTATTTCAGGCTACTACAACATCAACAACATTATGTTCAATGTGAATTACTGCATAGACAAAATAATGTGATTCGCATGTGTCCACCATCCTCCAAATCTATCATTCACAACACTCATGCCAGTAGAGTGTGTGACAAACACACGTGAATTTAACCTTGTCCCACAACTCATCATTAGATAGATAGACAGGATTGTTAAATCGATCTTTCTAATATATTGATTGATCGTTTCGAATTTATATATATTTCTGTATGCAGTTTGTCATATTTCTGGTTGCACTTTTATTTCATGTGCTGCACACAAATGGAACTTGTTTGTTCATGTGTTCCATACAATATCAATGTGCGCCATTTCAAATAACAAATTTCATCTCGTGTCAATATAGTGGTTAGGAGGTTAAGCGCACAGCATGCGCACCAACACCACAACCAACACCAATACCACCAAAATCATCACCACTTCAGATTCACATACTGTACATCTGAGTGGCTACACTTTTGCGACAAAGCAAAGTCTTCTCATCAGTAGTTTATATAGATAATTGAGCTTGAAGTTTCTGCTACATTATAATAATTAGTGGAATCAACATACAGACAAATCGCTGGTAAGATTTCCCAATAACTATCAAATTGAAACGGACAAATGATTGGTAGTTGACAGAAAAATAAGGTGTAAATTAAATCTGTCTTCAAATTTAATCTTTCATCATCGAAATGTTGTTCGAGGAATAAGCGCATCAGAGTGTGTGAGTATTTTGACGAGATCAAAATCACGAATGTTTGACTAATAAACGGAATACACCCATTATGACATTAAATATGAAAGAAAGATTAGTTCAGTGAAGATTTCTCTTTTCGGCGAATTCATTTTCAAAGCTGTACAATCGCAAATATATATACTTATTTTTACAGGGTGATAATAATACTGACAATAAACTTATGTTATACATGGTGATAGTGAGGTTAAATAAACAAAGGTATTAGAAAAAATTTTTAAAACAAGGAAAGTTTGATAGCAGGTGTCTGCTTTACCTTCCATCTTCCCTTCAAATCTTGTACCCCCAACCGGTACGATCATTCCGATTAGATTTCATCTCTGTTTCAACATTTTATGTTATTTTATCATGCTGAGCTACCCTTACATGATGAATATCTAAGCCATTAACTATCAAACTTTCCTCGTTTAAAAAAATTTTTTCTAATACCTTTGCTTATTTAACCTCACTGTCAACATGTATAACATAAGTTTATTGTCAGTATTATTATCACCCTGTAAAAATAAGTATATATATTTGCGATTGTACAGCTTCGCAAATGAATTCGCCGAAAAGAGAAATCTTCGCTGAACTAATCTTTCTTTGACTAACCAATCACACATGAGACACGTTAAATCAAGCATGCAGACCAGTGACCAGATACAATACAGATACCAGACACAAGCAAGCAGACACAACTAAGCAAACACAACTGACATTACACACTACACACTACACATACACACCACACACCACCAACCAACAAGCATTACCTGACTGTCTACTGAATCACCAACAAGATAATAACAGTCAACCAGTAGTATTTCAGTGTATAGGATATACGATTGGTGGTAGAAAATTCCCAACGTGTCACCTGTCTGTCTCACACCCTCATTCAAAATATTATTTATCTTCATTTCACAACCACAAAACAGGTTGCTTGATTATGATCAATACAGCTCGGAAGTTAGCTTGTGCATCAAGACCACAACCACCACCACCACCACCACCACCACCATCAACACGATGGAAACAGACCACAGTCACACGATACACAACTGAGGAGTCGAGTGAATTAACCGAATTGGTATTGAGATATCGGGATGTTTGGAAAGACAAGAGTCGTCCATCTGCTGTTCTTCAGAAACAATTGTGGATGCAATTTGCACGTTACCTACACTCGAAGGGATGGCCGAGAAGAAACTGGACTCATCTGCGTCGAAAGGGTCTGCACATGCTGAAGAAACTCAATAACACGACAATCAATCAGTGGGAGGTGTCGAAAAGCAATCCAAATTCACCTGAAAATCACTCCAACCACACGTCACTCTCCAGTTCCAATGAAAATCGACACGTGAACGTGAACGGACAAAGTGATTCGGTAAGTTCGCCTTTCCCAATCACGTGCTAATTGTTTTCATCGAATTCAGGTGACCGAGGACCAGTCGAGTGTGCATCAAATCAACTTGCCTACACTCACCCCCTCACCAGTGATAACCATCACCTCCAAACATCCCACATCAACACTCAGTCCTCCTACAAACCATGTGCAACCGAATACCCCACACACAACTGGTCCAAAAATCTTGAACGCATTCTCAACAGCTCACATGTCTCAACAACTGGTGATTCCACATGATGCTCTAGTGCTGCAACCAACCACCACCAACCTCAACAACAACCACAACAACACGGTTGGTGAGGTGGCGATTAACACTAACCGAGTCGCGTTACTGACTCCTCTCCAATGTGTCTCGTTCGGAGTCACGAAAACCCATACTGCAGACGTATCTCCTATTCAAGAAGTGAATATCTCGAACTCACCATCCAACCAAACGAGTCGCATTCCTCTGACTGCAACAATTGATTTATCAACGTGTAGTGAGGACGAGGAGAGCTATCCAGAGTTGAGTGGAACGCGAAATCAGGCGAACACGAATCAGGTGAATGATTTCGGTGAAAATGCCAAGGATTGTATCACGTAAGTAGGACACCTCTTTTCAACTGACACGTTTCACCTTATGTTATTCCTGTAGTAGTAGTAGTAGTAGTAGTTGTTGTTGTTGTTGTTTTTATACACTCACCACTAGCACCACATATTCCTGATTAGCTGACTGACTGCTACACACTGCTTGCTGTGTGATCATGAGAATGTGCACTGATTTTTATGACCATGACTGTCACTGTAGCTCTGTGAGAACGAGACTTAGCAGTAGGATTTGATTCACACAAGCAGTGAGTGAACCACACGACGAGGTAGATGGATAGATAGACAAATAGATAGACAGACTGACGGACAAATAAGCAGTACTCTGTTCACTTACGTTCAATGGTGTTCCATCTCACTGAAGTGTCTTCGTCGCACGTTGTGCATCACTCAATATCTTGATTATTGTTGTTAATATGGGGTGTGTGTGTGTGCATGCCTACTGAATATGAGGGTATCGAGTGAAAATTCCTATTTAGTTGTGTTTGTCAGTTGTGTATATGGTGTGGTAGATTTGATGATTAGGATATATGCGACGAATTTATGTATATAGAAGCATATGTATATCATGTCTCCTACATCGCCCTGGTGATTATAAACAGATGTTCAAACTGTGACTTGTTTTTGTAGATCCGAATGTGAGAGAACCCCATTGTCAGAGATGTTGATTCACAAGCAAATGAAGTGCCTAGATCTGAAGATTGAAATTCTCCAGATGAAGAAGCAATATTGGTCCGAGAAACTGAACTCATTATCGGAAAGCTGAATGTTGGGTGAAAGCCAATCTTCACATGAACTACCATTGTGATTGTCATCAATTCTATCCACATATGGATAGTAAATTCAATTGTAAATTCAATGTATACATATGTATGTATATGTATTGTGAGTGACGAACATTGTTCTCCTTTTTCATCATTATTGTCTATTCGTGGTGTGTGTGTGTGCGTGTGTGAATTTGTCTGTCAGTTAGTCCTTTTATTTGACAAATGATTGATCACTGGGTGGTGATCAATGTCATGCTTGTCTAGTCCTTATTAGTGCAGATCGAAAGCTATCGATCATGTTGCAATGTGGCCAACAGTCTAGGTGACTCGACACTGCGAGCACTATGTATTGAGATTTAGATGGTGGTTGTAGGTAGTCAACAGGAAACCCAGGACTCGTGTTTTGTGCTACTCAATTGATGTTTGACAAACACTCACCTGGAACTCATACCCAGTCGATATTCACTAAGTGTTCAATAGATTTCAATCTATAATGAAGTGAATCCTCGAGACGGTCAACTGTAATGCGTTGATTAATAGAAGGACATTGAAATGATAATAACTCTGTGTGAGTGAGTGAGTGAGTGAGTGAGTGAGTGAGTGAGTGAGTGAGTGAGTGAGTGAGTGAGTGAGTGAGTGAGTGAGTGAGTGAGTGAGTGAGTGAGTGAGTGAGTGAGTGAGTGAGTGAGTGAGTGAGTGAGTGAGTGAGTGAGTGAGTGAGTGAGTGAGTGAGTAGATTTTTATCGATATGATGTCTTTTCAGAAGTTGTATTATGGGTTCGAATGCGTTTGAATATATGTTTATTTGTATAATGACGCGAATAACTGTACGTTGAAAATGACAATTTAATGTGAATTTCTTCTTTGTGTTCTGAATTATTTCGGTTGTCATTCAGAGCGAAGCCAACTGTTACTTGGTTCTAGTAATTCTTGATCACATCACAAACTCTATTATTACAGTGTTTAGTGATTCATCACCAAGTTTCATACTGACTGGTCAATCATATTTTGGCGTGGTTCCTCAAATTTATGGTGATATTGATATTATATTCAGTTCTTCAATCCACCCCTCATCAACCATGCGTTTCTAAGTATCATTAGACTTTCAACTGATTTCCTGTGTTTCGTCCACACATTTCCACTCCATCTTCCACATTAGTGTAATAATTTTTTTAACCCAATCAGTCAATCGATGATCCATATGACAGTTCGTGTATTGCTTAATCTAGGAGTTTTGTTGAGAATGAATGTGTAATTTGACAAAATCAATGAGATGAGGTGTGGAGATCTATTGAAGATTGTCAGATGAAAACCAAATAATTATATTCAATCGGTTTGCACACACACAGGTTTATTCATTTATTTTCTAGAATCACTGTTTACAACAATAGAAGCATGGTTTACTTCTTAACCAATAATATTGTAAATAAGTAAAGTGGAATGGTTAGAAATGATGACCGTGTTAAGTACCGTGAAATTCCTAATTGATCAAAGTGAAGCGGACAATATGGAGTTGCAGTGTTTAATTTCATAGATTTTCTTCTCAAGGAAAAAACACTCAAAATTGTTATGAATCACTTCTCGTACTGAGAATAAGTAAACAAACAACTTAAACTGACTTGAAATAACAAAATGGACATTGAACTGAACAAAATCACTATAGGATAAGGTCAGACGAGTGGGTCAAACATAAATGCTACGATAATTGATGCAATTCATTTCAGTAAAGGAGAATAACTAACAGTACATACACTCTTTGATCAAAGTGAGATTGTCACTGACTGTTTTAAATAATAATAAACATTGTGAGAAATAAATTTCAATGTGTACTGTTTATTCATTAATGTGTCAACGAATACGCGAACCTACTGTCCGTATATAAGTCATTAATTTAATGAGTGAATTTCTAATAATAGGCTGACTCAAATTAATTTTCACTACTCCATCGACCATGCTTGAAACTGATATGTTCTACATGGAGATATATTAGTTTATTCGTGCAGTTTGGTTCAATTACAAATGAAACAACATTCGTAGTGTTCCCTAGTCTTAAATTCTTTTCCGTTAGTTTTGGTTTACAGTGTATACAAATTCGATTGGACGGTTTCGTCGATTGAAATTGTTAACAATATTCTTATTTTGCTAAACTAATTTAACCCTTGAAATTTTTCATCTCTATTCTTGATGTTTCTCTTCATCTTTCCCTCTTCATTTCGCTTCAAACACAAACATATAAATTGGTAAATATAATGCGATGTTGTTGGGGACGTTAGATCTCCAGAACTCACTTGGAAAAGAACCTAATTTTGTAATTTCATTTAGAACATTTGAATTTCTTTGTTTTCGCGCCGAAAACACTTTTCACCTTCATCTTGTATTTCCCATTTAGGAGAATCTTAAACACTATTGGTTCATTATGTCTTTTAGTGTGCTATTTTATAACTCTCTCCAAGGACGGTTTTGTGTTGTATATATACGTTTTGATTTGTGTTTGTTGTTATCGCTCATGCTTCTGGCTTTTCGCTGAATATACTTCTCCGTTCGAACTCCGACTTCTCTCTCTAGTTAGCGGGGCTGGGACGCAATAGAATAGCTAGGTCATTGGTCTTTGGTCACAAGTCTTTGTTCCCAGTTTAAGTGAATTTGTAAGAGCTCCAGACCTAGCAAATTTGGCGATGGAGTTGGCGCAAACATGGACCATTCCAAAGTAGAATTATCGCTCGAGAAGCACCGTCAGTTGATGGTATTGCGAATAGTATCTCAGAGTTTCATTATGATCCTGATTCCAATGTCACATTTGATATGTGGTTTCGACGTTATGAAGACTTATTCAAACTTGACTTCGCTAATCAGGATGATGTTTGGAAAGTTCGCTTGCTGCTTTGAAAACTGGGTCTTAGTGAATTAGATAGATATTGCAACTTAATTCTGCCTCTAAACCCACGTGATCGCTCATTCTTGGACACCGTCCAGTCATTGAGCCAACAGTTTGGAGATAAATCTTCACTATTCAACGCACTTATCGATGTTTGAAGCTGACCATGAACGCAAACACTCATTTTCTAACGCGTATGGGTGTCGTCAACCCCAAATGCGGACGATTCTTGCTGAAGTCGCCTTCTGAAGACCAATTTAAAGCCCTTATTCTCATCTGCAGCCTTCAATCGCAGAAGTTCAGTGACATTAGAACATACTTGCATAGTCGATTAGACTAAGACCCCAAATTGACGCTCAATGATATTGCAAGTGAATATCAACGTCTAATGAATCTGCAGCGTGACACTACGACGGTCCAGAGTGGTGGTTTAGACCGTACCGAAGTTCATGTAGTCTAACAACCACACAACGCACATTAGTCTGCCCCAGCTACACCTAGTTCAGGTCAACAGGCAAAAACAAATCCTCCTGCCCCATGCAGGCACTGCCGTGCATGGCATTTTGTTCGAAGCTGTCCATATAAACGACATTGGTGCAGGAAATGTAAAGCCGTGGGTCATAAAGATGGTTTTTGTCGAAAAAAGAAGCCGAACAGCTCCAGAAGTACTAAGAAACCTGTCGCTAAATCCTGCACAAATTTGTTGAGTCTAGTAGCAATCTGTTAAAACTAAACCCCAGGTGAGAGGAAATTTATTACCCTTAACATTAATAGGCATCCGTTTAGATTGCAAATAGACACTGCATCTGACGTGACAATTCTCCCACGGAAATCTTGGATCAGAATGAGTAGACCACACACTGTGCCAACAATATAAAAACCTCATACTGCATTCGGTAATCACCTACGTTTACCGGGGTATGTTATATGATGCCAGATGATCTAAATTTACTTGGTTTAGATTGGTTCGATCAGCCGAAATTGGCTGATGTCCCGTTAAATATCATATGCCACCTGATATCACATCCACACGACCCTGAAGCATATACGAGGAAGCTTGTGACGCAGTTCTCATCTATTTTCCAACCTGGACTGGGTCGGTGTTCTGCCATGAAAGCAACGCTTCAGTTGAAAACTGGGGCTAAGCCTGTTTTCCGCCCAAAAGACCCGTGCCTTATGCAACATTACCAACAGTAGATGGAGAATTGAATCGTCTTCAACAACAAGGAGTTATCACACCTGTTTCTTACTCTGCTTGGGCAGCACCTATAGTCGTTATCAAGAAGGTCAACGGCACGATACGTGTATGCGATGGCTTTTCTAGGGGTCTCGATGCAGCTCTGGAACAGCATCGTTATCCTCTACCAGTTCCAGCAGATCTGTTTACTATGCTGAATGAGGGAAAGTTTTTCGAGAACCTGGGTTTAGCTGATGCTTACTTGCAAGTGGAAGTAAATGAAGCATCAAGGGAGCTGCTTACTATCATTACTCATCGTGGGTTGTTTCAGTATAACCGTCTGCCTTTCGGAGTCAAGACTGCCCCATCTATCTTCCAGAAACTGATGGATACCATTCTATCAGGTATCTCGGGGTCGCGGTTTATCTCGATGACATCTTAACTGTTGCGACGACATCAGAACAGCTAGAGGAACGCACGACATTGGTACTGCAACGCATCAGTGACAACGAGTTCCGGGTACGCCCAAAGAAATGCCAGTTTTCATTGCAGCCAGTAAAGTGTCTGGGGTTTAATTTTGACGCTGACGACCGCAGACCGGATCCTGAGAACATTCGAGCTATTAAATTAATGTCTACCCCCACTAATGTGTCGGCACTACGTTCCTTCATGGGACTTGTCAACTGTCATGCAGTGTTCGTTCCTTCGATGCATGAAATTCGCGCTCCACTCAATAGCTTACTGCAGAAGAACAGCTCTTGAAACTGGACTAAACAGCGTGACGCTGCATTTTGTAAACTAAAGACCATTATTAGTTCGGAATCACTGTTGACACACTACGGTCCAGCCATGCCGAACATCGTAGCTGCAGACGCTTCAGCGTATGGCCTAGGCGCTGTTATCTCCCATCAGTTTCCGGATGCGTCGGAAAAAGCCCTTATGTATGC